CTTCTGTCACCAAACCCACTGAAAACTTGTTAAACCAATCACGGTTGATCATCATATGTAACCAGTTCTGTCATTGGTTAGACTGGCAATATTTAATAATACATTAATACATACAGTTTATAATTCCTCTTTATTAATTTAATCTAAAATTTAAACTGGCTGTTTTTTTCTTTTTCAGTGACTCTCCTGGTCCTCCATATTTTTTAAGTACAGCACCAATTAACAAAAAAACAACAACATATTTTATATGCATTAAGCCATTTTTAATATTTTTTTTTTGTCCTGGTTTTCATTCAAAACAGCAAACCTGTTTGAAGGAGGATTCCATTAATTCCAGTTGTGTAAACAACAACTTTCTGTTAAAACATCCCTTGGGGCATTGTTCTTGAATTCTGGCACTTTATTTTTACTTAATTGCTGCAATATCTACTTCTTGTTGATGTTTTTTTTAAATTTTTTTTTAAATCTCCAAACAGTACATCTCTGTGAATGTTTGTCAAAGTCCTCTATGATGACCTTTGATGACCTTGATGCACCTTCTCCTGGGTTCCATAAAAAAACAAACAAACAAATAAAATAAAACATGTCAAAATCCTCTAGAATGTAATAAAAATAATTATAGCGGTAGTTCCAGTCTAACCTTTTTGCAGTTTTGGCTTAGAGATAAAAAAGCAATGTGTAAAAAAATGCAGGCAAGCAGGGAGCAGGGAAGAAAAGCAACTTAGCATTAGAGACTGAGCACCAGTCACATATGGTTATAGTATAACACCTGCCCTCCTGCTTCTAGACCTCCAATTTTATATGTAAATTACAGACAATATTGCAGGTTATTTCTGTATTATGCAGGCCACTCTTAATATTTAAAATGCCATTATTCTATTTTGCACTGCTTTGGTTATGGTTCTTCCTCACTTTCAAATTAGTCTGTTGTAGTAGTCATTTGCTAGAACTGTATTTCTTATAATTTCTATTACCTTCTTCTCTAAACGTAAAGATTGTAATAGAACAAATCACTTATATAAAAAGGGCATGCATGTAATCAAATCTAAACAAACAATTTTTGGTCGTGGATGATTAAATCTCATATGAAATTATTGCACTTTCTGTCATAAATATAACAATATCGTTCAATAAATGAATTTCCTAAAACATATGATGCATTGACAGACACTAAACCTGCATACCTAAAGCATCTAGTGAACTGTTTTGTATTAGAAAATATAAATCCACTAATAAGTGTTGTTTTGAACCGTAACTCACTAATTTTAAAATTGTTTGATTTTCTTTTACATTTCATTACATATAAGCATCCCTCCATTATGAATTAGCTTTCTATTATTCTGCTCTGCCATGTTTTTGAATCAAACCTGTACCACTTAGTTCCTCTGCTAGAGGTCAGAAAAGAAGCATCAGTTTAATGGTGCCGATGTTTGTCAATATTTAAATGTTTTATGAAGAGGTAAAGGCCCCAAATAGCCTTCCTCTAAATAACCTATTTATCATTAATTGGCTTTAGGGGTAGCATCGGTGCAGTTGTACCAGTGAGTTGTAATGGCTGGTACTGTAGGCATTAAAATGACAATACAACTACAGCCTTAGTGTCAGTGGTGCATTCAGTTTAAACTCGTAAATCAGCATTTCTTAGTTTCAGTTTGAAAAAAAGAAAAGTAAACTAGGATGACTCCCAGAGTTGGAATTCTGGCCTGGTAAGGCAGAGGTGCCTTAGCCACTCCGCCCACAACAGGAAGGTCTACTAAACCTTAATTCATTCACTTTGTACCTTGAACGTTTTCTTGATTGTATGCTTTCTCTTCCTCTTCTCTGACAGGGAGGTTATGTTTTTAGTGGAGTTTGTCTCTGTTAGTCTCAGTATAGAATACCTGAAAACTTATGAAAAGCTTTTAATTATTTTTTTTAACCAAACAATCCATTACATTTTGGTGATGATCCAGATCAACACCTGGATCCAGGATTATTTTATAAAGATTCTGTGAAGATATGTATTAGTTTGAGGTGGAAGTCACAATATATCAAGGGGAAATGAGCTATTCTGCAGCAGTCTGTGCTCTCAGTGCTTTTTAAGTCTTTCTGCTGCATTACATAAAAGCTTATTTAGACAAAGAAGGAACAACTAAATACTTAAAATTTTCAGTTTGAGCCTGATATATAATGCTTCCCAGAGCATGGGGCTGGGGTATATACACCTACAAATCCAAGTGGTGGGCAAAACATTTAAAAAGATAGTGAGGGATGAGAAAAAAAAAAGTAAACTTGAATAATAGCTCCTATGTGTTATAAGAGCCTGAAGAACAAATTCCTACGGGCTTGGATGGCCAATTCAGACTCGGTAAATAAATTCAGCAATTAGAAAATTCTGTTTTTTAGCTTGTTTCTGGAATACAGATTTTTAAGGGTTAAGTAATTTATAAAACAAATTCTAACTTTTAAAGTTACTAGAATGCAGTATTGCATGATATGTGCAGACATTGCATCCTAATACAAATGACTAATTAAAACTTTTATTGCACAAATTCGATTAGTGTATTTTCTGGTGTTAGTCTCCATATCAGGGGTTTCCTATCACACATTATTCTGCTCTTTCTCCTTATTAATTTCCAATTTCAAACATTATGCCCAAATAATAATATCTAATTTGTGTCTAAATTACTCTTAAACTGTAAGTTTACATGCAATACAATCCACACTATATGCTTGCTAATGCCAAAACGACATATTCCTTTTGTAATGTTACACATTTTGGGGCCAAGAATCCAAACTAGAACAGAGACCCCTCTTCTCCAAGATGATTGGATGATTTTTATTAGCATTTCTTTTTTATTTATTGAAAAAAAAAATGTTGAAAACACTTTTGTTTCTGAATCAGTCACACAATTAGAAATAAATTGTATATTATAAATCTTAATATTTTGTCATTTGAGCACATCTGAAGGTGTTTTCAACAGGGCAGCCTCTGGTGTTACATTAACAAGTTAGCCTCTTTATCGATTTTGTAATTTTGTGACCATAAAAGCTTTTCTCCCACAAGCGATCAATTATGAGCAAAAGACAAAGCTGCTCTTTAGTCTCCAAATAAATATGGTGATAAACTTTATCAGTGATCTGATTGCACATCTTTATTTTTCACATATCCAATATTTAACACTAGATAACCACACAGTGTCCTTTTATTTAAATGGCAAACTTTGTATCAAAATGGATGATTAACAACATGACTTCCTCAAAAATAAGCGGAATTTATTGTTGACAGATACTTTTCCTAATGCTGGTTTTGAAGCAAGGCCCTTCTATACTCAACGTAGCTTTTGCAGACAGCTTCACTATGCGTTCCCCATTTTAAGATCCATGGTTAGTTTTCCTGTCATCTTGTAGGTTTCTAAAGCCCGGGCCTCTCCATCATCGAACTCTTTTTTTCTTTTAAAACCCTGAATTCTTTATTGAAAATATGCATACATAACACTTTTCCTACACAACAATACAAAACATTACAATCACTTTTGTAAAGAAGACATCAAACGCAAACCAACACATCACCCCTTCCCACCCTAGAACCCAAAGAACTTAGAGATGCTACAGCGAGCCCTTACTCCCCTCCCGCGGTCCCATCCCACCACCATCACCTCAGAGAAATAAGACATAGTTAAATCAGAAACAAGTCCCTCGGTAAACTTCGACAGAATAACAGAGAAGACACCGGGTTGCATACAGACATATGATTTTGCCACCAGGAGGTGAGGATGATTTTTTTTCTTCCCTTTTCTTTATTGAATGTATTTTTTTGGGTTTTTTAAGTGTGCATTAATTTCCATTAAGTCCTCTGAAATGAATTCATGGTATGAAACAGGGAGTCTATTCTGTTGTTCAAGAAATAAGGTCTCAAGTGTGTGCATATCAGACTGTGATGTACATGACCTACAAAAAACAACTGTTCATCTGGAATTTGGCTTCAATACAGGTCAAAATAAGTAGCAACCGTAGATCTACAAGGACACACCAAGCAGAAGATATTAAATACAGAGATGCAATAAAGCTGAGTCTTCTCAGGGAGGGACATCTTTGAAGGCGATGGATATTTAGAACCTGATTTAATGATGTTTTACACACTATGACCTCTCCCACGTCTACTGGTAAAGCGTTTTATGTCCATGCTGTTGTAAGATAATGACGGTAAATCAAAGCAACTGAATACAAATAAAAATACATGTAAAAGAAAGTTATGTTTACAAAAAAAGGAGGACTCAAAATGTCTGGTTATATTTTAATATGATCATACAGGGATAGAGATCAACCAAAAATGATATATGTGAACAAAAAAAAAAAAAAATTAAGTAACAAAAAAGTTCAATAAAAACAGACAAAAGCACGGGTTTAAACATTTTACTATATCAGTCTGTAGCGAATTGTCATTACATACCCTGAAGTAAGGGAGGAAGAAAGCTTTAAATGGTGCAAAGACCACTGAATAACTTGGCTGGAGAGCGAAGGGGGATGTTGATGCTGAACTCTAAACTCCCAGAGTGGTACCTTCAAGACGAGACCGCTGGGCCTTATAATGCTGAGTGTTTGGGCCAGTCACTAACATCGGGTGCATAGAGGCATAATAAGGACTCAATTCCTCTTGAAATCTCCTAGGTTTTAAATCTTTATCAATGTAACCTTTTGTGTGGCAACTGACTAAAGATTCACGCCACTGTTTTATGTGCAGCAGAGCAGAAAGACCACCGAAAGTGCAGTGAGGGAGCCATACATACCGAGGGGTTCTGTGCAACTGTAGGAGCAGGAAGGCAGTTTGTGTTGTTTAGATACAGGATTGCAAAAGTCCCAAACTATGAGCTTAGAGGATTTCTTTTAGTAATTGGTGCCTCTTCTTTCCATTAACAACGTGACAAGAAAATACAATCGTCAACCTCTCTGATGAATGAACCCTTTTTAGATAATTAGGCATGGGCCAGTTTTGTTATCAAGGTGTGTGCTTGTTTTTAAAAAAAAGTCAAAGCCCTAAAATGGTGAACAAAAATGCTGTTTTGTCAAGTCTTATTGTTTTACTCCTTTTAATAAGAGTAAAGACAGAATGATCTTAAGCTTTATGCAGCATAAAGTAAACATTCCCCTTTACCAAAGGCTTAAACTGGAAACTAAAGGAGCTCCTCAGATAACGGTGCTTTCAGGTTGAAAGCAGGGTAGCTACCAGCTCAGATGGTCCAACCAAATCAACCAGCACATATTAGCTCATCCAAATCAAACTAAATAAAGAGCAGGATGCAAAAATGAGTCAGATTCTGCATAATGAACCATTTGAGGATCATGGATAAAAATTTGCGGATGTTAACAAATTTGTACAAAGTCCAACAAAATCAGAACAATAAATAAATATTAAAACAATCATAACAGTTTTTGGCAGTAGAAAATAGAATTGGTTGGTGTTTAAAAGCCTAACAAAAAAAACTGGATTGTGTTTTTTTTCCATTTCTTGTTTTAAAGTGTTTTGGAAATATTGGGGCAACTTGAAGTTGTGATGTTTATAGAGAATGTCACACCGGCCCATGCCTACGGATGACGCCTTTCAGCCTTTTATTCCCCTCGATGCCTGACCTAAATTGCATTCCTTTTTGTATTTTTCTTTTACTCATCCAACAAATCTGATGTCAACATCTGTCATTTGAATGCTGCATTGTTGAGGACAAAAACACATTCTAATGTAAAAATTCAAGCCCCATATTAAAAAAAAAAAGGATATATTTTTCATTTTTACAAAATGGCTCTCTTTGTTCCACCGATAGAGGTACCTATGGTGCTTTGGATAACTCAGAACTGGTTTAAAATCCTTAATTTTATTTTGGAAAAATGTAATGAGGGACCAGAGGGGAAGATAATCTTCTGCTGGTGGGAGTAGCACACATACAAAAAAAAACAAAAAAAAAAAAAAACTGCGGCAAATAGATCTGCACCCAATAATGTCCACTCTTGCTCTACTGTGTGCATGCAAAAAAGATCACTCTGTCACTATTACTCCCACTCACATCCACAATCACACAGGAGGGACAGCAGTCACTAAGCGTGCAAATGAAGTCGCACTCCACGTCTGAAACAGTCTCTTTCTGAGAAGGGTCTTGGTTTATATAGATATATATACACACATATATAAAAATGTATATGTATATATATATATATATATGCGTGTCTCAATGGTGGAAAGCACACCTCGCCAACGGGTAGTGACCCCCTCACAGTGGATATGTAACCTGTGGATCCTCCTCCTATAGGCAGATTCAACAGAGTTGTGCACAGGCTAGCGCGACAAGAGAGAGGGAATGGGGGAGCTGTCCGTGCTAGATGTTATGTTGGGGAATAAAAGTTTTTTTTGTTTGTTTTTTCTCCCCACTGCTGAGAAACAGAAAGTGGAATCTTCCCGCTGAAGTTTTCCTTGGGCACTACATGAGCTAAGGTTCGCCTCTTAAACAAGAATGAACACTATGACTATCATAAAAAAAAAAAAAAAAAATACTTCAAACAGTTAGCATAGCCTATTGGTGTTCTTTGTCAGCTGGTTGGTCGATGGGTTCACCATGAATTTTCAGCTTTTGTCCAAATGGCTGAAGAATTTAGCAAGTAAAAAGGGTAAAGGATAACACACAGATGACCTATGATAACCCCCTTTTGCAGCGTCCTCCCCCAACAATAGAACCCCACCCATGTCCATAGAGACATTAGAGTCTGAGTCCAATGGGCAGACGGATGTAGTCCGGCAAGGAGAGGGCTGGTCTGCCCCGTCCGTCTGGAGACATCACAAGGATGCAGTGGGCCCAAAGCTCAGGGTGGACATGGATTCCCTCAAATACTTGCAAAAACCCGGCATGTCAACTGGAGCGAAATGGAGGACGAGGGGGTCAGTTAGAAGTGAGGAGAAGAGCTGTTACAGTTCATCAGAGGAAGATCCCACTGAGGACTGACTGACTTTCCAGGCCTTTAGAAAGGGATCCCAATTCTTTTTTTTTTTTTGGATGAGGACCTGAAACTCCAAGAGTCCAACATCACGTCCACCGTTTGTCTTGGCCGGTCTGAAGCCTCGTTTTTCCTCACGTTGGTTTTCTCTGATGGGTCGTTAACATTTTTTGAGGGTTTCCTTCACTTTCTCTCTGGTGATATCAAATTTTTGTTGCCCATTTGTGGTTTGTTGTCGTCGTAGGTTTGTTGGATTGTTGTCAAAGTGAGACGTCATCTGCTCTGTAGGTCACCATCAACTGTCCATGTTACTGCTGTTTTCTAAGAAGAAAACACAAACATGTACTCTTTATTATAGGGACTGGGTTGACCGTACAGCTCAAGTCTTTCTGCATAAAACGGTATAACAAGAGCAGTCACCGTTGAGTCCGTCTGCCTCTTGTGAATCGAGAAATGGAGCAGGACCCCAGATGCGCACTGTGCCATCGTCTGAGGCTGATGCCATGAGGCCTGGGATGGCTGGGTTCCAGCTCACACAGTTAACGGTGCGTGTATGGCCTGTGAGCTCGGCAATAGGGAGTTCGCCACGCCTATGCCAGATGTACACCTTGTGGTCTGATGGGATTGGTGAGAAAGGTGACAAAGAGATGGAAGAAATTCAGTTTGGCATGAAACACAGCTGATTAGATCGACAACAACTGAGTGAAGAAAGAACCAAAAAGAGGATTTAAAAAAAAAAATCAAATGCTGTTATAACAATCTGTTAAATACATTTTTCACATTTTGTCATATATTTAAGTGCCTAACAAACAAACACAAGTGGACAGTTAAAACGAAAAAAGGTCCCAATAACAAAAAGCACATAATAATACCTAATTGTGGGTTAAAAAAAAATTCAAATTTTTTCCATGAATGAAATCAATCTAAAAAGGGTTTGGTGTATATATATGTTTGGCAGCTAAAGATCAACATCTTATAGAGCCATCATTGCTAAAATGTCAACTGGAAAGCTTATTGTTTTTTATTTTACATTTCTGTATATATAGATAATTTTTACACTTCTTTCAAAAACAGTAAAAAGCTTTGATCAAAACCAATGTGTTTTTATCGCTGGTAGTCATCGTCTTGATGGGAGAAGAAGATCAGCATTGGTTCTTACATTCTTTCCAGATTTACTCTCAACACAACCCTGGATTTTGCTTTAATCGTCTTTCCCATAACTCTGAAAAGATTCCTACACACCATGCTTCACTGTTGGCTTTTATGGTCATTTCCACAACAACCAATACCAGGTTTTCTGTACTGTTATCCTATCAAATGCTCTCTCCTGAAGAGTAGATGCAATGGACAGCTGTCTTAGCTTGATATGTGCCATGATTTTTTTTTTTCTTTTTGTATGAAAACTACTTTTTTTGCTTTTAAAGAGATTGCATGACTGTGACTATAGGAAGAAAAAGCATGCCGTGTTTAAGAGCTGTGCGTTCAGAAAAGTTCAATCATGAAATCATGTTGTAAATGGACAGAGGACCTGAAATTGAAACTGGGCAGCATAGCAGGATTCAAGAGGAATCAAGAGTTAGTTATGTTGTAAGCAATTTCCTGCCTTCAACCTTCAGCAGCTGTTTCACAGTACCTTCGCTGCCACTAGCGATGAAGTCTTCATTGTGTCCTCCAAAGCAGGAGTGGATGGTGTAGAAGCCCTGGGTCACACCTTGGTACTTCCTCACAAGCACCCGATCTTGAAGATCCCACAGGTGCACTCCCTATAAATAGTTAGCGGCACAGCCCATCGTAAGTGAAGGATGTTGAGTTTAAAAATAGCTTATTAATCCAAAATGCATATCGAGAAAATGTTTCTAATGTATTTCCCTGTGTCAGTAAATGGATGGTGATGATAAGCTTACCTGAGTTGCTACATTTAACAAAGCTAATCTGCCGTTCTTTGAAACGGTAAAAGACATGATAGGGTGGTCCTCTTGCACTCTGCAAAGAATGTTAAAAAAGAATTATTTATTCACTCCAAATAAAATATAACTGTTTTTAAGCTCATATTCAGACATTATTATGCAACAAATGCCAGAGGTCCTAAAATATACATACATGTTTCTGTCTGTGAGGTCCTCAAAGTTGTACCCTCTGATACGCTGATGGGTGTCCGAGGCCAGCACAGTCTTCCCATCGCCCAGGCACCACAGGCACTGAACTCTCACTCCTTCCCAGGAGTCCAACAAGTTACCATCCAGGTCCTGAGAAAACACAGCAGGACCCTCAGTTCCGGACAGGATAACGTTACATTGACAAGCAAGGCACCACAACCTTAATTTAACAAAGTTTTCAAGTTTTGAAGGAAGCTTTATGTGAGAAGCAAGCAGCCTGGAACTGGATGTACAGAGGGAGAAGACATGCAGCATTGGACTCAATGGGCTGGCTGTATATATCCTGAAGTAAAGATGTTATACTCCTAAAACCTTTTCACTTTAGGTCACATTTAATTTGTGTATCAAAACTAAAATAAAGTAATACATTATTATAAAGTGGAAGGAAAATAATATATATATTTTTTTTTTGTATAGTGAGCTTCTAGAAACTTATAAGTATTTATCCAAATTTATTGTGACACCATTTCATAAAGTGCAGGACCACAGTTTGCCTTTAGAAATAATTTTCCTTCGACCCCATTCATCCAATTATCTCATTAAAATCTCATTGTCCTGTAAAAATTCTGTAACCTAGATGGAAGAACCACCCAGCAATTATTGGTCTGGCCTTTTTTGAAAGACTGAATTTTAAAAGGAAGAGCAATAATCACTCATTTTAATCACTAGCCGTAGCTGTGTCAAAATGGCAGAGAAATGCCTAAAAAAAATATGTAGCTGAGACGGCAGCAAAGTTTGTTAATTATTGATGACTATGAATTCGTAAATCACATGAAATTGATAAAAAACAACAGTTGAAAACATACGGAAAAGTTGACACTTCTTATAGTAACTCTTAAACTGTCTTTAAAGCTTGTCTTTAAAGCATAACATTGGAAGAAAAAAAGATTAAAAATTGTATTTCTAAACATTAGAAGATCACTGGAGCACTTACACATTGATAAAACTGCCCCCTTTGTCCTCCAGTGACAAAGCGTTTGCCGTCAGGATTCCAGGCCACACTGGTAAGACTGTCTTCGTGGGACTGGGACATCTTGGTCCGCAGCTCCCCCGTCTGGCAAAGAATGGTACATGAAGAGGCAGGAGAAACACAGAGAAGGAAATGGGGGAAGGGAGAGAGAGAGCAAAAGGCAGGGTGAGCAAGAGTGGGGGAGGGATGAGTAAGAAAAAAAGAGGGAGGGGAGGGGAGGGCGAAAAAAAAAGGTCACTGAGTACAAACAGCACACTACAGGGTATCCATCGCACTTTCAGTCTTGGGATACGATTGATGGAGCTTATATGGCCGTGACACACGGAGGATGGTGATGAGGACACAGTCACTGTGCATCATGATGACTGAATAATACAAAAACTGACATAATGCATTAGATGAGTTCCCCTAAGCCGATATACAGAATTTTAATAGCCCAACAAATTCTGACTTCTGATGCTTCTTTTAACTGAAAAAAATATCTTTATATGAATATGCTTATTAATTGAGGTGTGTATCCAACAATCTGTGCCACCAACAACTAAAGCCAAATTGTTTGGAAAGGAAAATATAATGTTTTTTTTTTTTTAAATGTTAACAAAATCTAAGTTTCCCTCTTTAAACTCAGGATCCGTCTCCAATTTATTTTACCTGAACATTCCAGAGCCAGAGTTCTGAGCAATCATCAGGTCCACAGGCGATCAGGTAGGTGTCATCAGGACTCCATGCTAAGTAGGAGACTCCGTATGCGTGGCCCTCCAGGGTTCGCAGCAGCTTCAGCTGGTGGCTCTCCTGCATGGCAGGGAGAAATTAGCAACAAGGTTTACAAGAGGCCTTTCATGTCTGAACTAAAATGTAAAAAATACACAATTTCATATGGAGGTTGAATCAACGGTGCCAATCCCAAGTGATCCATATACATTTTAAAGCCAATGTCTGAGTGGGATAGTAGGGTTTATCCTGTAAAGCAGTTTTAGTGCTTTCACCCAAACTGGTTCTTGAGCTAATTCTTAACTGGTTCCATTTTTACCTATGTCTCTGTCATTTCATCCATTAAATGTTTGATCCAGTCTGAGATATTATGAAGGATCTGAACAAAAAGTTTATCAACACCAACTATTAATGTCAGCAAGTCTGAGAACAGATGGATTAATAGTGCACCGGCAGCACTATACAAAATGGCTTAGGTTTAGATCTTAGGTTCTTTGTTCACTGCAAAATCTGATCTAAACAAAGTGAAACATTTCTTCAAATAAGTGTATTTTGTAAATAAGAAGATCTGGCAATGGCCTTTAAAATAAGGTAATTAGATAGTGTACTTTAATATATAATTGTGTTGATTGTGGATAATTATTTTAAACAGAAATAATTTCATTTAACAGCCATATTGTCTTACTTATCTGCTCAAATGAGGGGAAAAAACAACAACACTTCTTTCATAAAAAAACTGACTTTCTTGTATCTAATTTTTTTTTGTTTTCACTAGTTTCTCCATAAAATAATTACTCCAAGGTTTTATTCCCAGTGCTGATATGGGACTCAAATAACGAGTAAAATTTTTTTGAAGTGGTGGAAACACGCAGAATCTGCACCAATCAAAACCTCTGATCAGTTTAGCACTGGCAGCAGTTTAACTTCAAAAGTGACTTTTCCCCTCATCGACATGCGAAGAATAATAGTGATTTGTTTAAGCTGAAAGGTTCCACTTAAAGCCATATAACATAAAGTAAAGCCTCTTTTAATCGCTAATAATCAGCTAATCAGATCGTTTTTTTTTTTTTTTAAAAAAAAAAAAAAAAAAGATTTGTTTTCTTACTCACCGGGTCCACTTGCCAAATTATGACAGTAGTGTCTTTAGAGCCAGTTGCTAGTTTGGTGCCATCGTTTGAGAATTTGCAGAACCAGACTTCATTACAATGTTCTGTCAGAATCTGCTGAGTGTAGCAGGGAAACTGTTTCCTGGGAAAAAGGAAACCGATCACTTTTAAAAAAATCTTTAATAAGTACATTTTTTAAATCATCCTACTGAATAGCAATCAGCCCTCAAAGCGCTGCAAAAATATTAAACATGGGTATACAGGGGAAGAAGAGATGACTGAAAGCTCAAGAACATTAAAGTTTGCTAACAGCTACTTTAAGCACCAAAGGCATCCACAAAGCCATTACAATGTGATGTGAAAAAGCATTTAGTCAAAATGTATTCTGTAGAAAAAAGCTTCAAACATGTAATGGAAGGAATATTAAATATGTCAACACAGCCTATATACTTTATAGAAACGAGATTTAATTCACGCTCAGCCTTCTTTGGTAGTTTGTCAGCGTCCACCATTATGGACCTTGCAGTAAGCTTGACTAAATAGGGCCAACTCAAAAGATTTCAACAGTCATGAAGAGATTATTTTTGTGTGTATATCTGAAATCTAAACTTGTGTTCACTGGGATGCTGAAACATTAAATCCCCTGCTTTGTAGTGGACAAATATTTGGGTCAATTCTTGACTTCATACATCTTGACAACACAGCTCTGCTTGTTATTTCTTAAGTATCCACTTGTTCTGCTTGCTGCTCAGAGGAAAATGCTACACCTTGTGAAATCTCCTGTTATGGGGTGCAGAGCAACCTCCGTGTTGCACATAAACTATGATGGGTTTTGAAAGCGTGGGAGGCACATCCTCTGTTTAAGAAGCTTTATATATAAAACGTTAGCTAACCAAAATAATAGCTGGGGTAATTAACCAGAAGATATAAACTTGTTGTTCTATGAGAAGAACAGCAGTTAGAAGGGTGGTATTTATAGGCCTACAAAAACCACCTGTTTTAGCTAAATTAAAAAGTAGTTTTAATCGACCTCAATTATAGGTTCAAACGTAGATCAAAAAAACCTGTCATTTAACAAGGTGGTGCAAACTTTGTAGAGCTATTGTACATTTCTGTCACTGTTTTCATTGCATGAGGACCTGGGCTAACCTGCTGCAAACATGGTCGAGGAGAAGGGACACTGAATCCAGGTTGTTATCCAGCTTGGTGTTGTGGTAAAGACAGCGATCCCTCTGTAGTTCCACAGCTTGCCGTAGCAGAGTGTGTAGTCGCCGAGGAGGCAGCATCACAGAGGGGGGCAGGTACGCTGTAGCAAGGTGAGAAAGCACATGGAATATATCTTTGGAAGCAACATGTGCTAGCTCCAGAGGCTTGGTATAGAGAAAACATCTCCTCACTCTGTAATTTATCCAGGAGCCTGGAGCGAGAGGCAGTGCCCTTGCCCTCCCACTCTGCCTTGGCGCGTAGATCCTCAGCGTGGCTACACATTAGGTACCTGCAAGAAAATGATCACGGTTAGGGAAAACAAGACACAATATAAGTAAAAACAGAAAACTACTGTGAGAATAGTACAAAAAGAAATATAATAAAAAAGAAAAACAAACAAAAAGTTTATCAACTGACATCTCGTTAAGAACTAATATTATTGGTCCCAAATCTAAAAGAACCAGAACCATCTTTGATGCAAAATGTCTCCTTCAGTTTCTCATTTAATCAGTCTGACAGGTCAGAAATATTCCAACCGACAGTTAGTACTTTTGTGAAACATGCTAACGATGCTTTATGCTAAAATAATTCTTGTATGGAGAAATGGCAGCAACAAAAAGGCAAAACAAAAATCAAAGACAAATCTCCATAGAGAACTAGAGAACATAGATAAACAAATTCCGTAAAAGTAAAAAAAAAAATCCACTGGACATATTTTTTTCGAACTTTTACGGAATGACTATGACCTGGATGACTGAGAATCTACATCAGCATAGATAAACAAAATAACAAAGAAGTCAAACTATATCTGCTTTGACTAATCAGTGCATAAATTTGCCTCAAGAAACAGTCCATCCTACAGCCATAACAGCATCCTCTTCCTTTTATTGTATGCATCAGATTCTGCATTTTGGGATCAGAGGGAGATCTGCTTAATGCACAGCCAGAACTCCGGTTGTCAATGCTTATCATCTCCCCCTTTTACCTGTCTGGCCGTTTGGTTTTCCATTACTAAGGAGTACCACCTACTTTGCTATTTAGGAATAGAAAGGGAGCCCTAAAAGCAAGATTTGATTTGTGACAACCCACATTTATCCCATGCAGCCATATTGGTTATGGTTTATGACTAACTTCCCTCCTTTCCAATTCAAGGATTTTTAGGGATACCTTAGGGGCAAAGAAAATATGCAGATCGTCGGGTGAAAGGATCTCAAATGGGATTTGATGTATGACATTAAAAGTTTATGTTTTAATTTCAATTAAAAAGGGTGCTAAAAACTTGTCCAGTCTTATTCTTGTAAACATAACATTACATATATTTTCATGTCATGAGCTGGGTTTATCTTTACTATCATATTATTCATAGTTTTCATAGGGGTAAACAAAACCTGCTGACTTAAGAAGAGCAGCATACATTTAGATCCCACTGACTGACTGGCCTGACCACAGGTCCTCAGAGCTTTCTTTATTTTGTTCATCAACATAAGCACTGCTTAATTTTTGTCATAATGACAAAATTACTCATGAAGCTCTTTGCTGAATAATACACAAGGGCTACTAATGCTGTCTCTGCCAGAATCCATTGCAGCCTCTAGAGAAAACTGTTGTGGTTCAAAGCAGATCCCAAAAAGTCCCAGATGAGGCTTTCTATTAAACCCCAAAGATACAAGCCTTTCCTATTCTTGGCAAGATCAAGCTTGTATGAGTGATACTTAAAATAACCAACTGTCAAAAAAAAAAAAAAAGAGCAAATGATTAGGAAGCAAGACCTGACAATCTGCAACAATAAGTACAAAAGTTCTGAAAAGGTTAGTCATACTAGCCAAATACAAGGTTAAAGAGCCAAACTATCAACACAGGTATATATTTAAGCAGTGGTTCTTAAACCTTACAAGAAAAATGTACAAAAAAGTTTAACAACCAAAACTCCTCATATCTGACACAAACCAGTAAATGCCTCAAATCTATCCCTAATGTAGTTCTGCAACTTCCACATAACATTAGCTTCTCTACTGAGTTATAAATCCTTCACGACACCGAATTAAAATCTAACACTAGCTTTTAACACCAACTAGAAATGAGAAAACCTAAGCATGTTCATCTACAGTTTTAGGCCTTTATTCGATCTCTTCATAACAGTAAATTAACTGGTACTGTTCAAGTAGCCAGTGGCACTAATTTTATGGTTTCCCTTTGAAGCCACTCATTTTGTAGCCATCTCTGTTTTTTATCTTTTCATCAAAGTTTAGTTTAATTCCTTTAAACTGTATATATAAACTCATCCAAAGTACCACAAGCCTGGCTATTATGAAACCATATATAAAAACAAACAAAAACATAAGAAGTCACACAAAGTGACATTTCAGAAAAAATGGATGTAATCCATTAACTGGCAAAACTGTGCATTTTTCTGAGATGACACATACTGCACTGTTGTGTGGGATCCTTTACAGCAGTTTCCTTACAGTAAATGATCCATAAACAAAGAACAGTCAAAGTACCCGCTAAGGACATGGATCCGATCCGTGTTGTATTTGAGTGGCGTCAGCTCTCCCCGGAGAACCTGCAGAGCCTCCAGGACCTTGCCGTCCTCCAAATACTCAAGGTACTTCTGTTGCAACAGTAGAAACTTCATACGCTGAGCAGGAGGAGAAGAAAGAGAAAAAAATGCAATTAAAACATTTTTTAAGTTACACTAAATCATTAAATAGTTAAAAAACCTTAATGAATTGGCTACAGGTAGGGACTCTGAGGTAAATGATACTCATTAACCCTCATAGAGAGGTTAATATTCAATCATCTAATAGTGTCTGCAAACTGCATAGAGGGTGTGGTAGTGTAATGATGCAAGGCCACAGCTCCCACACACTGAGCTGAATAAAGCTCCCCTTCCTTGAAAAAGATCCACTGTTAGAAAAGTACACAGTTGAAGGCAGAAGCTGTTTTAGGATTCGGTTTACATGTTTGAGGTTTAGAGTTGTGATTCTGAGTGTTTCTCTAAAGAAACAGGCAATGAAAAAAAGTCAACTGAGATGCTTTCTCTTTACAATGCTTCATGTAAAGACAAGAAATGTGATTTTAATGAAGCCCTTCTGTATACAAGTAAAACTTGTGACATGGTAGTTAATCTTAATATCAACAAACTGAAAAAAAAAGCTCCATGCTCTGAGTTTTTTGTAAACGAGGTGCTTATTGAAGCTTCTACCAGGACTGACACCTAATATGGTTTAAGAGATCTTTTAGAACATCGGTAGGTGCTTTAGCTTGTCAGTCTAAACCTTGCAAACATTGGAAACACACACCAACATGACTTTACACAACAGTTAATGGATTGCTCCGATTAAAAAAAAACAATTAATGTTAACAGAATTGCCACAATCTTGTGAGTGAAATGTTTTTGGAATATGCTCTAGATAATGCTAATTTAATTAGAGTTTTATAATTAACTTCTAAATGCGTGTTTGGGAAAACAAAACATCCCCTCAAAACTGGGTTTCTATTGATCGACAAATGTCAGGATGCTGTATGGGAGACTATATTTCTCCCCCCAACAATGATTTTCTAATGTTTTTGTTGGACCTGGTTATACAAACTGATGTTCTTACATCATAAGAAAAAAAAAAAACTGTGCAAACATAGTCTGTGTCTGGCAAATGTCCTGTCACTAATGCAGTAAAAAGTATACAAGCTGAAAAAGCCTTGAAGTTTAAATTCTTTAGTGTCTATGCACTGACACTGAGCTTTTTGAAAGCAAACGTTATTTTATTTCTTCCATATTATATCTGTCTAACCACTAATTACCTTCATCAAGAACATGAAGCCCAAATACTGGAACTTTTCTGAACTAGGTTGACCCCTGACTGATAATAAAGCTCATGTGGTTGAATGTTTCTGAGATGTTAGAAAAGCAGACATCCTGCTGATGTCAAGTTTATAACCACCCTGCTTTGTGGCTTGCTGCTCTTTTGTATGTAAAACAGGTTCCTGAAATCTGATCACTCAGGAGAGAGTTTAATAACATCTGTAAATGACAATGCTTTGTTGAGTCTTCTTTTATCTAAATCACCCAGGATGTGTTTAATACCAGATTTAAAAAGGGTTTTACAGTAAAGAAATCATTTCTTAATATTAGTCTAGAATTTTCAACATTCAGTAGCAACATTTCTCAAGTAGTGCATATCTAGACTAGATACGCTGCTATAGCAACTACATAGAGGCTACACATAATATAAAGACACAAATGTTCAAATTATTGATTTGCAGTGTAGAGAAACATCATTATTTCAGGCTGTGTTTAAAACATGTTTAAAGCCTTTTAAAATAGCAGGATTTCTTTCAAATCATCATACCTGCAAATGTTTTTTTTGGCTTTACAGCAGATCAGTAGTACACTCTTTTTTATTAGGATTCTCTGATACAATGGCTGCACAATATATAAAAAAATATTTTCATTGAGAAAGCAGCTTCAAGATAAGAATGCAGCACAAAACTGCATAAAGTACAATAAATGGCTGAATCAATGTTTACATTTACAGATTGTAAAATAGTCTTTTATCAATGACACAGAAGCTGTATTTGAAGTATTTGACCAATTATAACGATCTCTTTAGATTCCCACCCCTTCATAGATGTGGGTGGATCACAAACAACTGGCCGGATAAAAAAGACGAATTGAGGAACATTTAAATGACTTACATTTACTGGTTGGAAAAGAACACTTTTCCTTTTTTATATAAATTTGGAAATTTAACAACAACCACATAAACCTGTGGAGAGCATAAAACAGTGCTAGCAAAAACAAAGTTGGAAACGCCATGACAGCTGAAGGCTCCCACATACTGTGCGCACTGCCCTGCAGTTTTTGCACTCATAATTGAGCGTACCAATTTTCCACATTTCTTGAGACATACTGCTAAATTTTTCACACTTTCCGTCAGCAGGAGGAAAAGGGGAACGGATGGTATAGAGTATGATGCGCTAGTTTAGCATCTAATGTTTCTTATCCAATAGGCACCCAAGGCGCACCAGTATGTGCTGCACAGGGGCTGTGATGTTGCACGTCCGTTTGCTTGCGTGTTCAGAGCAGCTTGGTATCACATTTAAAATAGTTTGATGTGGACACTTCCTTCCAAAAAATATTTGAAAGTGTAGTGCTCCAGTTGTCCGGGTTTCAGTCTTGCAGGGAAGAAAACATCAAAGCCGTTCAAACAAATAATGGGGGCTGCAGCATGTTATTTGGACAAGCACATTACGCATATTATTTCAGTGAGAAGCGAGGGCTTCATCAAAACAGACAGGAAATGCCACATTCTTTCATTGGATTACTTATTATTTCCACAGATTTATGAAACATTGCCTCAGATGTATTTTTTATTTCTTTTGCCATGAATCTAAACCAAATATACATCAATACTAATTACTGAAGAGTACATCTTAAGTATCCAGAGTCTTTCTCAAGAAAGTGATTATGTAATACACTTTAGAATAAGGCTGTCACATAAAATGTGGAAAAAGTGAAGTGCTGTGATTCGTTCCTAGATGCACTATAAGTATTCATTTATGTATCACAAGAGATAATGTCATCTCAGGTTTTCCTCATATCATGCAGCCCTTACACCAGATACCAATAATAAAAACATTACTGTTTTGCAATAAAGCAAATAAAGATATTCAACTTCTGTTTTTTCTCTTTATCAGAACTTAGATCTGGAAATAATTTTCCTGCCTCATTCATCCATAGCATATAAGGTTTATCAACCCAAAATGACTGATATCAGAGTGCAAAGAGCATACCAACTAGGTTTCACTGCTCTATAGAGCTAAATGTTTAGGGGTTTTTTTCCCCACAGGAGGAACAAAACACATCTATGAAGACAGGAAGGAGGAAAAGCACAGGCTATTAATGCTCCTACTCTCCTCTAACTACTTATACAGCTTGATGCTCACTCGTGGACCACTTAACTTACAGTCAGCATCGCTTTGTGTACTTTAAAGATTGCAACTGTATAAATGAAGTCAAAAGAATGGCAGATCTGTGTACCAGAATGAAGCTAATTTGGTTTTATTTTCAAACAATTAAACGGCATTTAAAACTTTGAAAAAAAGATTATCATTTGCACATTTATAAAGAGGAGTGAACTTGTTTGAATCATGCACACAATATTTACTCTGCTTTTTTCACTTAAACCTGTACCATGGCTAAAATCAACCTTTCTAATCTCTGTATCTAACGCTAAGAGAAAAAGAAGTGTGTTTACTGATCGGTGTGGGCAGCGCACATCATCGGTATTAAATTTGAGTCTTATCTCATGGATGCAGCACGACCCTGACAACTGATACAAGCTGAGTTGAAAAAAAAATGCATAAAGTCAAGACAGCATCCACCCACATGCTGTATTTCTAAAAGTACATGACCTTAGAGCAACCCATCTCCCAACTGTTTAACTTCACTGTTGTATGAGGAAAAACATCTTTCTTTTTCAAATTGAGCTTTTTCTTTGCAGTTTTATCGTGTTTTTAAAGCACTGCAGGAGGATAAGTGAAAAAGAAAAGAAAGTAAATTAAAAACAAAAGAAAAGTATAAATGATTATAAAACCAGTAGTACTACAGCTGCATCAAATGTGACAAATAAAACACAAAATGATAACATAAAAGACTCCTAAAGTTAGTCAGTAATATCCATTTAAAAAACAAAACAGAAACAGCATATTTGTTGCGTAAATCTACTGTGTCCTCCATTCCTAACTCGGCCTTTTATGAGGTTTTATCCAGAACCTTTCAGCTTATTATTGCTCCACAACACAAACCTGGTTTAAAAAGCTACAGTTCTGGAACCTCCAGCAGTGTCTGCGTGCCCACTGACTGCCATTCAGCCCAGTTCAGGTTCTGGGCAAAGCGAGCTTACCACAATAGCGTTGGGAGAATGCATCAGTGCTCTCAGCTCGTTGAGATCATTCTCAGCCTGGACCAAACACAAAGGGTGCATGATGGTAGGAAGACACAGAGAGAAAAATTGTTAGCTCAGCAGTTTCAATGCATCCAAAGAGAGAGAAAAAAGCAGTGATATAAACATAAGGTGGTATAGAGTTAATGGTCATTAAACGTGAGGCTTTCAGCTTTACTTATTCATGGTGTTTGGTCAAACCAAGCAGAAGAAACAATAATAGTTTAAATTTACAAGTAGTTTTTTATGAAGAACAAACCTACCACCAACATCATGTAGTTACTGTACCACAACAAGCTGCAGTGAACTTTGATGGCTTAAGTTCATTATTTCACTATTCTTCTTTTAAATAAGGCCTGTAATCTTCTAAAGCCCCTGTCACACCTTGACGATTTAGACAACATATGCTTGACGTACGAAAAATCTTGCAAAAGCACGGGCATACGTTGGATATGTTATGGGTACATTTTGTATAAGTTATGAGCAAGCTGAAGTACGCTGGCACATGTCAACTTATGGCGCACGCGTGGAGAAGTGTGGCAGCGATATGTGGAACATAAGTTACAAGTAAGTTCCACATAAGTCATGGCTTCCAGCTTATCCAAAACCTATGAGTAACTTGTGCATAACTTATGCGTAATTTATCAAGATGTTATCTCCAACGGATATCAACATATTGGACGTGTTTCAGACGACCGCTGAACATGTATAATGGCGTATTGGCAGTGTTCTGGTATAAAAGTGGGTTCACAAAAGAAAACTGTCAGTTCTCCTCCAAACTGCATCCCCATAATAAGGTGAGAGAGAAAGTGAGTGTGATGGATCCTCCCTGCATTCACGCCCACGACCAACAAGCGCCCTAGCAGACATGACGTTGAATCTGCTGCGACTGCAAACCTTCTTTTTTCATTTAATTTCTTTTGGGTTTTTTTTTTAAGGTGGAAAACAGCAGTTAGGTTAAAACCTCAATCAAATACATCTTTTCATGAAGGCTGGGTGCCTCGCTGCCCCCCTCAGGACACTGGCTTATGACATTTCGTCGGCATTGAGCTGCCGTGCGTTATGCATTAGTTAGTTCTGCGTAGGCCTGTGTTTTAGAAGTTTCTGAAACGTCAGGCATATGCTGGCTAAATCGTTAAGGTGTGACAGGGCCCTAAGCTTAAACTAAGGTATTAAAGCAGACAAAGCCTGAATATTCAAAGCAGAACTTACAAGTCAAAATTAGTAAAAAAAAAAAAAAAAACACGCCCTTAATTTGGCATCAGGGTACACTCCGTTCTGTATTGAAAACTAGATTTATATCTAAAATGTTATATGACTCTAAAATTTTAAATACGTATAGTCTTTTAGAAAGCTACAAAGTTATTCAATAGACTTAATTTAAATTGCAGACATATTACTAAACAATTTTTCAATGGAAGCAAAAGTACTTTTAGTGGGATTTAGGTTCCTATTGCTGTAAACCACTTTATGTATTCATAAGGAAGACAATGTTTTAACAACACGTCACCTGAGGGCGTGCCCTCGATTCACTCGTAGGGACGATTTTCTCTCAGCCTACAGCACCTTGTAAAAGTATGTACACACCTTAAACGTTAATGTATATTAATTAGATGTTGTGTGCTTTAGGGAGACAAAGTACTTGGACAATGATTCAGTCCTCATGAATTAGTATTTTTTCAACTCAAGTTTAGTGAAAATAGATAGTTCTGGTCCTCCGACCTCAGTCTTTATAGAGAAGCATTTTATTATCCCGATATTGAAAAAAATTCTAGATGTGTGTAATTGGGTCCGACTTTAAGGGGCACATCTATTCTGTCTGTTTCTATAATAAATTTGATTTAGATAAAAAAAAAATCTTGAACAGCAGGAAGGTTCCCCCCTTTTATGGAATTCTGTCTGATTTATAAAATCAGTTGTTTTCAGGATTTATCTCGTTAATACAAATGACTGTTTATGACTACCTTTTCTGAAATCTAATCTCAAGTTGCCTTTTGGGATATACATCTGTACATGTGTACGTATACTTGCTTGTAGAGAGGAGTGTATGAAAACTTCTTACGAAACAAAACTAAACCAACAATATAGTGATAAAGTTTAAGTAAAAAATAAGCGCAGGTGAAGTAGTAGATCTGCAGTTATCCAAATTCAAAGATAAGAATTGGATCGGATGTGAAAAAATGTGCATCCCTAGTCTTATCAAATGCTGTTAAGTCTAAATCTGGATTTAAATGGATAGTTCTAATACTAATATTATATGTTAATTATTTTAGAGGTTAGTTGTGACCTGATCTGAACAGAGAACCTTATTTGTATTGATGCATCCCTTAAATGGCTGCTAATAAACTACACACTGGCATTTTTAGGTCTTTCTTCCAAAGTCACATTTGTAGAGTGTATGACAGATACTTGTCCTGCAGCAGAAGATATCTTGCTGACTATAATCTTTCCATTTTTGAATACTGGATCAAACATTGTTATTTAGATGATTAAAAACTAGGATTTTTTTAACCCTGGCAAAAAAACTCTGCAATTATAAAAAGAAGTCAGTAAGTTGTATTGAATCGTATAATATAGTGTATGGTTTTAGGTTATATACAAAATGTCAATATTTTCAACAGGTAGGAATTCTTTGCAACCAATCGACTCCAAATTTTACAGCATAGGAAATAGGTCAGAGTCAGATAAAATGATTAATTACTGATGTTTTATCAAATACGCTCAAAACTCTGTATCTATGCAGAAAATGCTAAACTTTAGACTTGAATAGCTGTAGCGCAATGGTTGATCAAAGGCTGTATTTGCGACATTAAAGCATTAATCAAAAGAATTATGCCTTTTATTATATAAAAAAGTGATTTTTAGACATTTAGTTTCTTTATTTTTTTCATATTCACACTTTCATAGTACAAAAGATTCAAGCACATTTGCAAACTGCACATTTGTAAAACCTTAACTCATCAATTATGACTTTCTAAACTAACCTTGTCCCACTCTCCCTCCATGACGTGGCTGCGGAACTTGGAGGCTGAAGGGTGCTCCAGTCTGCAGCCTGATTCCTGCATCAGCAGGTCCACCGTCTGACTGCAGACACACACAGACAGGCAGGGAGGAGAGGCAGACAAAGTTATGCTGATGTATAGAGACAATACCTAAAAAAGGGAAGGAAAGTAAAGGAGGGGTGACTTTGAAATTAAGCATGAAGGTGGCTTTTCAGCATCAGCATTGGCTGCAATCAAAACTGCAAGCTCTGTCAGCAGGATGCTAAAATGTCAAAGCATTGTAATATGAAGTTATCTTACAGAGAAAATTACCGTAATTTAATGGGCTAAAATAGGTGGCACAAGCATCTATGTCACCTTGTTACACAAAAGGACATGTAATAGGTCTTTATGGGTGAAGAAAAACGAGCACAGACTTGTGGACAGTAGGAGGATTTTTACACAGGGCAAGCTTTCCCCCTCACAAGCTTGTCAACATGAACAACTGCCATCTGTCCAAACACCAACTCCCATCTAAGGATACCATCAATGTGCCTGTCAGGATGCGAGTTTTGAGATAATGAAATTGAGGAGGCCATGGATGGTGGGGGGGCTGACACCTTTCAGCATGATGACATCATTCTCAGGTATCAATGAAGTGGCGCAGCAGCTTTGTGTTCAGCCTCTCATCCAGCTGACTGCAATACTGATTTCTCCTGTATTTCCTTTGCTGAAATATAGGGGCTCTGTTTCATCCCCCCCAATGAACACAGAAACGTTAAGGCTGTCATTTTCATATAAAAGCTGCTCTACTTTTCCCAGCTGGGCACCACAGATCAGCACAGGTTAAAGCCACACAACAGTCACTTTAAAACGACGAGTGCACACATGCATATCCTGAAACCCCCCACCGTGGCTATAATTAGATTCAAGCAAAGCGGTTCCATCTAAAACAGCTGGTAGAGAGCGCATTCCTCAGCCGCCATGAAACCATCCGATTCTGCTCATTTCAAGAACAAATGCCCGAATCGCGTCTTTAAATAAACACATGCCCTCAAAATAAACACATGTCACGGGCTATGACTGACTGTCTAACAAATAGCTGTGACGATCAGACGCAGGAATTAGGGGCATTAATGCCAGAGAGACATAACAATCTTCAGGGGGGGGACAGTCTTATATTTCAAAATCTGCACAGCTTCACAAAATGACGGATTAAAAAGACGCAGAGTTGGAAAAGGCGAGCAATAACAACCAGATATAGCCTTGTTATTACTGTGTTTTTACCTATTATGCGCTAATCTAGATAAAAAATTGGATAACAATGTTTTTTTTTTTTTTTTTTGGTAAGAAAACCCAAAAAAGCTATAATCACTGCGGATTGACAATCCATACAGTAACCTTAAAAAATTATCCGCATTTTTTTTTTTGCGCAACAGCCTTTGAACCGCTAACAGGTACACAACAAACTCGATAATCCTGCTTTAGCACCTCGTTAAGAAGCTCCGACAACATCCCCTTTCACGAAATAAACTAATTTATTTTACTGTGATGTAAAAGGTTTGTTAAAATATAAAAATAGAAAAAAAGTTGAGCGTTTTTTTTAGTGCGAATATACGAGAATAACACTGGATGATGTAATGCGTTTATCCAGTGCGAAATCCATACATGTTGACAGTACATGATGTCCTCATTACAGAAATGTGTTTGGTTGTTAAGTTTCATATGATTAACTGTTTTCATGTGGCTTGTTTTGTATTTTATTTTAAATGATGTCAGAGCAGAGCACATCAGCACAGGCTAATGAAGTTAGCTTCGAAGCTAACTGTTATTGTGCAAGATGGACCCCTCTTCCTACCAACTGCCGAGCTCACAGGCTAACTTACTACCCCATCCCCCCATGTTTGTGTATGTCAAGCGCTCTAATAGCGCTTTTAGCAACTGGTCTTTCATTAAAAGAAACAGCGATGCAGATTATGGTTGAAATGGTGGTTAGTATTTATCGTCTGCTGAAGTTACTCCACTGACATATTGGATAAACTTACTTCAGCCCCAGTCCGTGAAGATGTTGTCCTATTAATCGTATGACATCTTCCTCTGCCTGCGACAGACGTTTCTTCTTTTTCAGCGAGCCTACCTCCGAGCTCGAGGCCGTGGAGGTAGCCGAAGTCCCCGAACAGGGTCCCACAGAAGACCCGTTACTGGTACCGACACCGTTACCGTTGTCCGCGCTGGACAGAAGCCCGTTTGAGTGAGTCCCACCGGCCGAGGATGACTCCCCGTTTTGTGCGCTGTTCAGGCAGGGAAGCTCAGAGGATTCTTGTCCCTGTCCTGCCCCGTTTGACTGCATGTTACTGTTAAAGTTGTTAACGACGCTTCGATTAAAGTGGATGGTAGAGGTGGTTTGAGAGTGCGCTGCAAGTCCTAGGACAACTCCAGAGAGGCCTGTTACAACGGCTGAAGCCCCGGGCTCTCCTGCTCCCTCCGCCGCCGAGGCTCGGTGTTTCTTCCGCGGGGGCGGCGACGCTCCGCCGGTGTCCGAGTCGGAGGAGGAGGAAGCGGAGGCCAGAGTTTCCTCACCGAGAGCGGCCGTGGTTAGAAACCGGCGAAGCTCCGGGTGGGAAATTTAGGTTACGCTTCCAGATTGAAGGCCTTGTTGCCAGACTCAGAGCCTAATGTCAGCTCGTTTTTTGTTGATGTTTCTCTCTAAACAGCTGCAACTCTAATGGAGTCCTGACGCCCTGACGTAGCCGGAAATTCCTACACTAGCAGGCTTCCGAGTAGAATATAATCCATGGTTGGTGCAGGGAACAGATTTAGCATAATAACAAAAATATCTGACATTACAGAAAAAATAAAATGACTTTAAATTTGGCCATTTTATAAAAGATTTATTTTAGAAATTATTTCATTTCTTTTTAGATGCACACATGTTTATAGGCAGTTAAATGGTAAACGACTGGTAGATGATTTATTACAATTTTTTTAACTCAGTAAACTGCAGTAAAATAATTTAAAACTATTTGTTTATATTAAATAGATCATTTACTATTATAATAACTTTTATGATATCTTAAAATGCTAAACTTGGAACTCTTTCATTAAATTCAGGATAATAAATTATTAAAAAACAAGTCTTTAAATTAGCTTATTTATTCAGACAATACAATTTCTTCCTTTACTTAAGGTTTGTTGTTTTTATGCACCACATAATATACATATCTTCTGCTGCAAGGCTTGCAGGATTTTTTTTCATTTCCTTTCTTCTCTCTTTTGATATCTAGTTTAGATCATTCAGATATTATTAATGGCATCTACTTTTTTGGTTTTGTAATATTTATTTATAGTAAAATATTTAATTGTTTCCATATTTTATAACTCATATTCAGCGTGTTAAATTGGAACTGATGGCAGTAGCGATGTCTGGTATCACGCCTATATAATTTTAACGTAATGCCTTAAAATTTTTTATTTAAATTCTAAAATCCAAATGGTATTTATGTGCAAACACCTAATTCACAGCTTAACCTCCACATCACTACAATATAAATCAGGTTTCAAGGGTACATTGTCCCCATTAAACTTTTTAGATAAACTTCAGTAGATCAATACAGCTTGATTAATTCACTACTTGTTAGATAAAGTTTGTGGCCATACATTTACGGCCATTGAATTTAAAATAACTTGTTAAGTTTACCAAGTTAAAATTTAACCATTTGAAAAATCTCTTTAAATAGAACAAATTAACATTGTTAAGCAGATGTTAATAAGATATATTTTCCCCAAAACTCAAATTTTTAAACTTGTCTTTGCCAAAAACCTTATGACAATTTCTTAACCAAGAACCACCAGGTAAAATTCTTATCTCTTTTATTTATAGTTAATCACACCAGAAAAACTGTTGAATAATTTACACCTGCATGGGATTTATGTTTACTTTTCCATTTTAGATTTTTTTTGAGAATAATTTATTATTTCTGGGTACAAGAGTCATTATTTGTAGATTAACTGCCCCACCTATAATTTATTGCTCTTTATATCTATCTATCTATCCCTGGACTGGAGTTTTGACTCTGTATAGGATGGTCCATGATACAACTTTTTCATTTCCGATATGATATCGATATTGCATGTTTAGGAATTTACCAATATTGATATTAACCCGATACGATATCAGCATGAAATCATACATACTTTTATCAATATTTTCTTGTATGGAATGATAGATAAGCTTGCTCAAGTCAAACAGAGAAGAATATTTAACATCAGGTAAAAGAACATAAACTTTAAACAATATTGGAGATTTTAGAGGAAGGCAGATATATTCCGATATTCATTCCTTGGCTGCTATTGGACCGATTTATGATATCAACATCAGATTGAGACCCCCCTAATTCTGTATATATCTATTTTGATAAAAAGAAGCTTAGTAAATGAACAATTAAAAAAATAAAAAGCAATCACTTCTGCTAAAATATTTGCTTTTGCGAGGTGACAACTGCCAATGTACATGGCATGAACAGAAGTGACAATCCAACAGAAAAAAAAATTCTGAAACACATAGACTTAACATATTTTATTAAAAGTATAAATGCAACAAGGTTAGCCTGACTGTTATAATTTTCTTATAAATCTGAGCTCAAGGTTAAATACAGTATGTTACATGTTTGTTATACACATCCATGAGACTATAAGGTCAGATGCACATTTCCCCTTATATGCTTAGATAGCCCATATTTAAAAGCTTTAGACTTAAATATGGGCTATGATGATATCACACACTTCAATATCAACAAATAAAAAGAATAAAAGGGAATTTATGTCATCAGTGAGAGTAAGATGGGCTTTATGATCACCCCCTGAACAAAACGATTCTTACTTCGTGATATGGATTGAAATTTGCCACGCATTTCCATGCTTGTTTATGTTTTCCTTGCAACTTGTTTGTTGTTTGGACAATTCATTTCAAATAAAAGACAACCAAAATACTGTATCATGTGTTTGAGTATGTCACCTGAACTGTTTACGAAGAAAAAGGCTGTTTTGGTTGTTCAAATGTCGTCATTTTTGACACTTTGAAAGATATTGAAATGTGAACCCCTTTACAAAACTTGCTTTTGTTTTCTAAAAGTTATGATAATTGTGAAAGAGCATTTGAGTTTGTTTGTCTATATAGTCCTACTTTTCTGTTGTGAAAGCTGAAAAAAAATAAAAGAAAAATGGAGCAAAGCTAATATTGTCCTTAAAATCTGTTTGCACGTTAATGTGCTCTATGCAAAACTCGACTTATTCCTGAATCTAAGTCAGCTTTTTTGTTTCCTGTCTTTCATTACTGGATGAACTGATTAATCCAGGACTGTCTGTCCATGTTTACTGAGGTCAGGCGCATCTGTATTAATCAGTTCATCCAGTAGAAATAAAATAGGAAACAAAATACCCACCTTAAGTTCAGGAAGTAGTGGAGTTGTGCAAAGAGCCCATTGAAATATTGACATGGGAAAAAAAAAAATCAGGAAAGGTCCTCAACTTGGTGTGGGAGATCAGTGGTTCCTAGACCGGCTTTGCAGCTGGACTTGTCTTTCCCTTTCATAAAAAAGGTAAGCAGCTCCCCTTTTCCTTTGACAAATATGGGCCCTCTTCGGATAAAGCGAAAGCCATACTCCTTCAGGATGTCATAGCAGTCCTCCACCACCTGAGGGCAAAACAGCAGAGATAATGATCATAAGCTTTATTTGCTACTGCAATGTTGTACAGGGGAACAAAATTTGTACTTTGTTTCTAACTCTTGCCTTAGAAGGAATTCATGCATGACCCACACAGTATTGTGGGAATTAGGGTCCTGCTCAGGGACACAGAGTAGTAGTGTGTGGAATTTGAACCAGAGATTTTGGCAGTGTTCCTGGGATGCACGCTCCCTAATTTGACCAATATTAGAATGGCCACCATTTTTACTATGTCACCATTTCCATAAGAGTTCTTCAGAAAACAACTGATTTGACTTAGAAGTCAAATCAGTTAAACTCTTCCAATCAAAACTGACTTAGAAGAGTTTAATTCAAAATGGTGATTAGTTTGAAAAAGTAGATATTTTCAGATTGTTAAGATTTTGTTTTATTTTTAGAATTGTAAATATTAGACACTCAGTGATGATTTTTAAAGGCTAGGGTAATGGTGGATGGTAAACGTGTTTTAGAAATGAGATGTTCTCTGTAGCATAAAAAGTCCAACATTTTTGTGTGCTACCTGTATGTTCCCCATCACTCCAGTTGACTCCATTCTGCTGGCCACATTCACTGTGTTACCCCAGATATCATAATGAGGTTTACGGGCTCCAATTACTCCTGCCAGAACAGCTCCTTTATTCAAACCTGGAGGAATTGACACAGAGAGATTGAATCACATGCAGAAACAACAAAGAGAGAGAAAGGCAACTCAAAGTGCACTGACCAATCCTTAGCATGAAGTTGTTGAAGGACTGATTGTTGAGGTTATCAAGGGTGACCTTCATGGCCAGGGCGAAGTCTGCAAGGTCAGCCAGGTGCTGCCAGCGTTCAATGATGGACTGCTCTTCTGGCTGTAAAACAAAAAAATGCTATTGGTTGAATAAATGAATCAATAAGTACATATCACTTTGCAGGATGCAATGGATGCATGCAACTAAAACTACAGGACGAGTTGTCTGTTACAGGGTAGCACCTTTCGGCTGCCATATCCATTGGTGTTACTCTCTGGGGTTAGTCCAGAGGCAGCCATGTATGTGCTTCCGATCGTCTTGATCTTTGTGATACACCTGAACTCATCTCGGTCCAATAACTGTTGAAGAAAGATCACATTTGATGTTTCAATGTTTAGTGTTATTAAAAAAAGAACCCTTCCCTTTGTCTATGCTTGACCTGCTGTAAACACTCAATTATGCCTCTTCAGATGGAAAAACATAAAGGGAGTCCTCTAGTTTAATTATTTTTTTTTTTACTAATAAAATAATATGAAATGAACCAAATTAAGGCCTATATCATGTTTTCACCATCACTGTAACCTATAAAGTATATTTAGTTGAAAGGTTTGAGAGCCTCTCCAAACATATCTTTTCCTCATTGCGTATCATTAATCTACTCTGATTTGATCATAAAACCTCCCCAGAAGTGATTTATCTTGTTAGTAATACTGGTGTTCCAGTTTATGATAGGTCTTGGTGTTATCTATGTTGTTTTTACACACCCTAACCAATTGTTTTCTGCTGAGAGTGATAGTTTAGACAAAAGTTGGTAGTTTCAGAAGAAGAATTATGCCAAAGTAGGGTGAACTTGAGGGTTTTTAATGTACCTAAACTTAAGCCCAATGGAAATCTATGGAGTAAACTTAAACGAGAGATCTGTGCCTGGAAACCTACCAATTTAAACAAGCTCCACCCTTTCTGATAAGAAAAGTTGTTAACTACCCCAGGCAAAATTTTGCCAGAGGCTAAAGCATATTTAAGACCCATGTAAGTTTATATATTCATTTTTAACCCATTTGAATGTATTTAAACCACTGTGAAATAAAGCTTCTGCACTTTGTTCAATAACTATATGAATAAGTAATTTAAGCTTATGATGAGAGGATATTCACATTTGAATAGAACTGTGGGTAACTGGCTAAATGCCTTAACTCACACTGTCGAAGTCTGAGATGATCTCATTGAGGATCCTTAGACACTCAATGCCACCATTGTTAATGCTTTCTTCAGTGTAGAAGTCAGAAAAATTTGGAATGGAGGCAAACATCACACCAATTTCATCGTAAGAATGACTGTACAGCTCCTGCAACAGATATATCATAACTTAGTAGCTCTGCTGACATTTAAGAAGAGCCGGTGGTTATCAAATATGTTACAGTGGAACAAACCACAAGATGGCACTGATATGCAATGAATAATGGAATTTAAGCTTCACATTAATAGGCTGGTTTTCAAAAGAATAACACAAAAAACAACATAGGTAAAATCATTATGCATATTTTTACATTTTCATTTCCATCAGAATTATACATGATATGGTTGTGCACAAACCAACTCAGGTCAATTAGAGCTCCAAAAATGTTTGTTGACGCCATTATATCTATATCTTTTTCCATTCAAGGCTTGTTAAAGTCATACATTCCACTAATACTTTGAAAAAGTAATTTATGCATTTCTTGCATCATGCTTATATTACCGCGCCTTCTCTTTATGTTGGTCTTGATAAATCTAAGAGGCAGCAAGCTGTGCATAATCTTGCTTCACGCTCTCTGACCAGGACTAAATGCTGCAACCACATTATATCAGCCCTGACCTCTTTGCGCTGCCTTCCTGTTCATTTCAGTATACAATGTTATAGTGCTATGGCAACATAACACGTGTCTGAACTGTTGCACCTTTAAACTCCACCCAAACTGCAGCTCAGAGATAGAGATGACTGAGCTTTTCTGTGAGTGTACCAACCCATTTTCTGATGTGGCCGTTTTCATACTTATTCTATCTTCCCACTTATTTTACTTTGTGTTTTATTGTTTTTATCGTACTTTTTATTTTTTATTGTTTGTGCTGCTGATAATCTATGCCTTTTGCACCACTTTGATCAACCTTTTCTGAGCTAAATATGAAGAAAATACGTAAAACTTGCTTTATTTGTACCTCATCTCTTAGTTTAGTGCCAAGAAAATGTTTAGCCACATGCTCTGGCAGCATGTTGGTCACCAGTGCCTCGTTCCAGCGCCTCATCTCAAAGACTCGCTCCTTCTGGTCATGGACCCCAATCTTCCACAGGAATAATTTCCTGGACTGACGCTCCAGCTACAGAAATGCAAGGTGGATAGATGGGAAGTCATGCAACAGTTCTAAGCATCATTTGAAAACAATTTTGAAGGTGCAGGCTTTCCCCAGGCAATGGTCCTTTGCTTTTACTCACATGACGAGCAAAGAAATAAAAGCTTATCATCATGACGATAATCATCATTGTCATGAGATACTTTGATGGTACCATGGATGTTCTAAAAATACAAGCAGAGGGTTAGCATTAGAAGTAATATATGGACACACACCACAAACAATGCATATCAAAATGCAGTAATTGCCACAAAAAAAAATCAACGTTCCCGAATTCCTTACCTGTAGGAGGCAAACTGTATAAAATCATACAGGTCATAAATGTCCCGCCAGCTGTAAATATTAACAGCTCCAGTTGCTGTGACAACTAGCACCATGAGGCCCAGTTTGATCAGATGGCTGACCTGCACCAACATGGCCGTTGCAATAAGGGACATCACTGCCATGAAGCTGTAATATTTTGGGTTTTCTGCACATCCCCGGTCTCCAAGTGACTCCAGCATCGGGCCAAAGGTACTGTTGAAGAGCCGCAGTGATGGTGGTACACAGCTGAGCTGCAAAATTTAGATTGAAGAGGCATAAATATATAAGGCAGTATTTATACTCAAAATGTATCCATCATGGAAAAAGCATTATTTCTTCTTATACTTTATTTTGTGCAAGAAGTGAAATTATATAGAAAAGGGAATTGACAACTGAAAAAGTTGGGTTAAAACAATAAGACCAATCCAAAAGAGGAAGTAGCTGATTGCAATTTTACCACAGGCAGGTGTGGGATAATAAGGTTATTTCCTGCCCCTGTGGAAACAATGAATATCTCACAGATCTAATAGTCAGTACTAAGTCTGGTGAACCGAATATCGTCAAATGATGGCTGGCCATGACTATTTTAAACTACTATGGATAAATTTCTCCCCTAACTCTCTGCAAAAATATTTTTTTAACTACATCAGAGTGTCTGGTCCAAAACTTGATTTTGACAATATCATTTTGATACATGTTTTGTATGTTTATTTTGCTAATGCGAGGGAATCTTGCTTGTTTATAGGTCCAAGAAGTACTTCTATGAATGTCCAGATGATAAATACAGTTTTTGGTAAATCTCAGATGTTTTTTGTCCATTTTTTGTGAGCAGTGGTTCAGGCTAATGGATGACATCGTTACCCTCTCTGTCATTCTTAATTATAAAACCTGATCTAAACATTTAACATTTCAATTTTTTTATTATTTACCAGGGTAATTTCTATTTGGCAAAACAACTCATCCATTCAGCCTTTGAGAAAATCTGTGGTGCTTTCATAGAGATACTTTAAGCAACAACTATTCTACTTCATTTATTTTGCATAAGATTTCATCCAAAGAGCCGGATGACATTGCACACAGCATATAAGGACTGATTATTTTTGTTGGTACAACAACAGTGCTGCTAAAACATTAAGAAAAGGTAAAAGCTTAGAAAAGAGAAAATACAAAAACTATTAATTTTGACACATTACAAATTGCTGATAAACTCTGGGTTGGAGATAGTTAAACAGGAATGCACGTTTTATGTTTTCATATACAGACTAAATAGACAGTAACAGATTTCAACAAAAAGTTCTGGTTTTCAGTTTGGTCTAAATAGTCTTTCCTCCAAGCAGCTGTTAGAGTTTAGAAATATCAATCCTATTGTGTATGTACATATATGTGAATATATATTTCTATATGTATGCTTGTATGGATGTATGTATATATGTACATACAGTATATATCTTTGTTTTGTTTTATTTCCTTTTTTGGCTCCAATAAAAAAAGAAAAAAAAAGAAAAAAAAAAAGAAATATCAATCCTGACAAATGAACACACATTTGTTTTTTACATCCCTGATATTATTTGCACAGTTTTTCTCTTTCTTGTAAAATGTCTCTTTTTGTTTTTTCATGCACAGGTATATAAAGATGTTTTTTCTTTGTTTAAATGACCCTAGATTTGCAAATATATTTAATCTGAGGATATAATTTTTAATAGCTTAAGAGATTTTTTCTTATGTTGTTTATTTGCCTCTGCTAATGGGTCTCTTATTTTTAACTGTTTTATATTTTCACCCTCTTGGTACAATGTGGTGTTCAGGTTAAAATAAGGAATGTGTCTTCTATTCTTTTTAATTTTATTCTATTCTGTTGCTTATTTTCTTTTGTCAGGAGTCTGAAGAGAAGAGCTAAAAAACCTTTTAAAAAAAGTTAATAATTATTGAGATCACCTGGATATCTTAACACAGGTGTGTGTTTGCATACAAATCTGTTTTATAGCCACGTACCTTTTACCAAGGTACATTTTTTCAATAATACTCTGAAATTACATAGCAGCAATGTACCATTCAAAGCAGACAAGGAAGTATTTATGTTTTTAGCACTAAATGCATAACCTAAATTACAAATTGGACTACATATTCAACCTTGGTTAGTCTGAATGATTTTGATGCTATACTAATATTGCAATCAACCTCATCTGTATGTCAATGTAAACAATGTATTTTGTTAATGTTGTAATATTTATTGTTGTTAAATGTAACAAGTTCATGCTGATACCATCTTGATCAGATATGTTTTGATCGTATGGAAAATAATCTGGTGAGATAGATGATTTTAATTTATAAATCTAAGTTTCTTAGCTAACTAAAGTCAATATCACCAAGTCTATGTGTTTTTCCTAAAGATGTGCTACTTATAATTGGTTTAAAACAGTTTAAGCATTTTACAAAAAGATCAAACTTGGGATTACATCCAGAAACCTTTTTTTTTTTATTTTGTTTTTATGAGAAACCCATAGAAGCATTTACACAAAAATCCCTTTTCCATGGATTTCTCCTGCTTCTAAAAAGCCATTGTCAAAATACTCTCAACTCTTTTTTTCTCCCTGAAGTTTAGGGTTTAATATGGTAGTTAACAGGCTTAGGTTTTGACCTACACAAAATTCTATTAATGAGTAATTTGCAATCATTACATTTATGTTATTTTTCCTTATGAGCAAAAAAGTATCTCATAATTTTAAGGAGTTCTTAGAGGGATGCCTGCCCAACAACACAAAAAAACAAAAAACAAAGGTTCACTTCTGCATCCCTGCTTCAGAACTCAGCAGTGTGTGTGGCAGGTTTTTCCTGTGAGGCTGTGACAAACGAGGTGACAAGCAGTGATGCAGACAGCTACTGTAATGGACCCCGCTGGGAGTATGCAGTCAGAAGTGTAACAGGCAGTAATAGTTTGATGAGCGGAAAGTGGAAACATACTAATGAAAAACCACAGATGCACCACAACTGCTTGGATTGATGACATCCATAAACCCTGAATAAATGAAAACAGTATAGGAAAACATAACAAAAACTCCTTTAAATCTTCCTGCTGGGACATACAGAAAAGCAGTGTTTGTGAAAATGTCCTTAGTCTTACCATGTCAGCTATTACTGCCATGGTTAGCACAAATATGGCAGCCATGGCCCAGGTGTTCCGAGCCCATCTCGTACGGTCGATCCACATCGAGAAAGAAACCAACCTCTTGGAGAACATCTGTAACTCAAAAAAAAAAAGTAAATAAGAGGGAATGTAAATTTGCAAAGGCAGTCTTGATGTTATGACTAATTAATTGACAAATCATTGATTTCTCACCCTAGGAAAGATTGCAGCCAAGGAGCAAACTGTGAGAATTAGTAACAACAATTGTCCGACAGCAAGAGTCACATAGTTCACAACCAACCTGGAAAAAAAACAACACAGAAAACAGTTAAAATCACAACATAAGCTCAAGCCCATATAAAGAAAGTCAATGCTTGTAATTTACGCATTGATTGAGTGTTAGAACCTTATAAATGGGCTAAACAATCAAATTCTAACTCACAATGGATCAATAAACACTTCCATTGCTGTGATGAAAAAGAGCACGATGATACAGCAGCTAAAGGCCGCTCCACTTCTCTTCTCCTTCTCCGAGGAATAATGCTCCTCCAGCTTTCCATCCACAAAGCGCAGAGAAACTGGATTGATTTGGTGATCCTTCATTCTGTCTCATAACAAAACAACATTGCAGTGAGAAAAGTAATGTATTGCACAGAAATTGCATATTAACAAGTAAATCGTGAACCGAAAAAATACAAAGAGAGGATGTTTCACTGTTAGAGCTCTCAAAAAGATGAACGATTCATCTTACATTTGCTGAGACTCTCTGTCCAGGAGCTCCTGCTGCAGTCGTCTGTTGATTGCTTTTTCATCCGCCATCTTATTTCTCTAAGATTGTTTGCAACAAACCCAAAATGAAATGTTATTAAGGTTCTTAAGATATGTAGTAGATAATTTAAACTTGGCAGTGCAGAATTATCTCTGTTTAGCCAGTGGTTCTTATTCAGTTATAACATGTGACCAAACTTTTAGAGCAACGTAAAGGAAGAAATATAGCCTTTTATAAACAGATACACAATTTTGCTAAATTTTAATGAATGGCCCATGACATGTAAAGGAAACACAGCATCCATTGTATAACCGAATAATATAGCTTGTTATAACAAATATCAACCAATACAGTTCAGGGCAGTATAATCATATCTGTTTGTGGCAATAGGGGTTAGAAAGAACAAGAACAAACAAGGCTGTTCAAGGAGGTTCCAGGATTTTTAAACCCAGACTAGTCAACAAGAAAAAGGAAAAAAGCAAGACATGATTTTAGACTAGAGTAACTGCAACAAAAAGCAGGAAATATGCTTGACATGAAATTTCAATTGGAAAGACTGATGTTTCCAAAATAAGTAAAATAATTAGAAAGCTTGGAATAATTCAGTTTTAAAAGGATTAAAATGACAGTTAAGTGTCCCATTCAAGAGTCTCAGATGTGCATTGTTATTTACCTCCTGATTAGGATTAGCCAACATTGACTGGTGTGAGACTGAGTTCCCATTAGTTTTGGTTGTGTTGATCACCTGATCTGAATTTCTGTGGGTCAGATCACCTGGTGTCTGAGGAGAAACAGGGACATTTGTTTATAAGACATATCATATTTTTGCTTAAGGTTGGCACCAAAATCGCTCCAGATTTGTATTTTGGAAAGTTAAAACTAACTCACTGTTCCATTAAGTCCATTTGCTTCCTGTTTAGGTTTGAGAATCAGGTAAGTGTCAATTCCTTTCTCTAACAGGTACTCACACCTCTCTCCCCCATTTCCAGGTTCAACCTCAAACTCTCCATGCAGACTGTCCTTGGTACTCTGGGAAATATGCACTCTCCTGTGTGATGCATGAATATTTGATTAATAAATCACTACCACTTGACTATAATGGCATCTTACTTGATATTTCCTACCCAGGGATTCCTCCAGATTCCATCTTATTGGCCACAGTGACATCTGTTGACCAAACATCAAACTGCCAGCGTTTCTGACCCAGCACTCCACCGAGCACAGTGCCTGTGTGGACACCCACCCGCATGTCCACGTCGGTTTTTGTCTTTTCCCGCACATACCTGTTCAAATAGAGAAACCGTCCTTTTCTACATCAATTTCAGTGCTCTAATCCTATTTCCATTTAACCAAAAACCAAGAACTCTGTACTGATTTGATTCTGCTTCATGCATTGGCATTAACTTTATTTCCATTTAAGAAAGGAAACAAAATAAAGAGCTTACGAGATAGCTTCCACCATTGCAAGGCCCATCATTATGGAGCAAACGGCATGGTCTTCCCTAAAGTCTGGCAGCCCACAGATGCAGTAGTAGCAGTCCCCGAGAATCTTAATTCGTAATTGGTGATGTTGCTGCAGAGCAACAACAAGGTTCAGGTTTCATTTACAACGTGTTAGCAGTAGATGGTAATGGAAATAATAAGTGAAATGGGAATCCAAAAAATTGCTGCTGTTATGGAGAACAGGAAGGTGAAACGGTATGATTAAGGAGGTTTCATTTCCTCACACATTTCTTTAGACATAAGCACTAAATTATATTCATAACAATAATAAATACCAATAGTTATAATAATTGCATGTCATATTTGTATGTTTTATCTATTTTTTTGTGGTTTTTCTGAAATAAACTCATTCATTCCTTCAAATTCTGACAGGTGTGAAATTTGCATTTTACAATTCAAAATGTTCATGATCAGATTTTATCATGTTGTTACAAACACATAGAAATTTTCTCTGGCTTTTGTTGAAATTTAACAATGAGTTGAAGTAGAAATCATATATAAATCATAATGCTAATAATTCACAGTTTCAACCAAGTTGTTCAGAAGTAACACCACATTATGATATAAGTAGAAAGTATCCAAGGATATATTGTGTGTGTGTGCGTGTGGCCATGTCTTTGGTACCTGGTTGGGACACATTCCCAGGAATATGATACATTTTGGAGGCTTATAGGTAATTGTGGGGGCTAACATTTTATCCAAATTAGGAAAGGTTCTGGGGGTTAGGTTAAGGACTAAGATGTGAATTGAGTTTAAATTATGTTTAGGGTTAGGGTATGGGTCATGGTTAGGCCATAGAAATTAGTAGGAAATGAATGGATGAATGGTTGTCCAAAAAATTCGGTCTTTGGTACCATAACAGAAACGTAATAAAAGGCACTTGACAAGAAAGTTTAGATAAATCAGGATCACAAATAAAACTTATTTTCATTAGGAAGGAGGTACTTCTGTCCTTTAAATGCGTGCATATAGTCAGAATGAAACAGTAGTTTGTTTTTAACATTAAAACAACAGGTTTTAAAATATGCTGTTTTGTGATTTAACAGTTAACAGAACCACTTACTTATATTTGTATGTTTCTCTTTATAAATGGACAATTCATAATAATGAACAGAAGGTAAATATTCAGATTATAGCCACCTGTGTCTAGTCCCCCAGGAGGCAAAGCCACCCTCACCAGAACAATACAGTAGGAAAAACAACAAACATACTAAGATCATTACTTCAGACTATATAGGAAAGTCATGACTGTTTATACTTGTTTAGGTAAAAGAAACAATGCATTACATAATCTACAAAATATAGTGATACCAGCTCATATAATCACAATCAATGTATTTTGTTATTCTTTTCATAATGGTATTTTCTAAAACTGGATACCACTGGTGCAAAACTACTAAGTAAGTACACACACATAGTTTGACTGGATTTTGTTTGTTTCTTTTTAAGATTTTAAAAGAAACAAACAAAATCAACAAAAGTATCCATAAAAAGTGGTGAACTGTTGGCCGTTTGATAAAAAAAGGGTTCCTGAATCATTTCCCATTAGTACCATAGAGAGGCAAAATGTTCTGGTGACCTAAAATAAAAAGTAAACATTACAAATGCCTATTTTTATTTAAAAATAATTCTTATAGACACCAGTGATTTAATAAAAGTTGATTAAGTAAAAAAACAAAACAACAATTACTATTAATGTGATTGTTTTATATTAGGTTGAAATAAAGACTGGGAACCTTAGAAACTGACAGGTTAGGCATTCATAACTCATACTCACTGAGGCCAGTTTATCGAAGCGTGCAAACAGTTCATTGAGCAGCTTTACCAGCTCTTGGGCGCTACAGGCTGAGGATAACTGGGTGAAGCCGACTATGTCTGCAAAGAGTATACTGCAACAAAAAGGCACAAAACAACATCAGCCCCAACTCTCCTCTTTCATATAGAGAAATCACATGTGTTGTGGGATTTTAAGATCTCTCCAATAGATTCTGTGATTCTGACCTGACATTTTCATGGCGGTACATGTACATGGTATTGAACTGCTGATGCTGCTGGACCTCATTCTGATTGGCCTGGTTCTGCATACCCTGCAGCATCTCATCAGCAATATGCTTTGGTAGGATAGACAGCAATAATTCCTCCTACATGAACAGAAAGAGGAATGTATGTGTATTACATTGACAAAAAAATACAAAAGGTTTCTCTTTATGAGTGCTCAAAATGTAAACCTATCAGTGGATCTAAAAAGATTCTGGTCAGCTTTGCTCATCTTAGAAAGCTTCTTTCTCCGTTTTATCAGGTTACACATCAAGTATGCTGTTAATGAGTTTGTTTGTGACTTTCTGTTTTAATTCAAATGTAACTCATAAAGGTTTTCAAAGTCTAACAGACCCAAAATCTTAAAGAAAGTACCTTACAAAATTTGTACAACTCATAATTTTTTTGACTTAGCGTTACAGCTTTCAACTTCTGTAAGTTTTTTTGGATTTCATTTGACAGACCAACAGAAAGTTAGACACGGTTGATAAGTAGAAGTCAAGGAAACCTGTTTTTGGAATCATTTTACAAACAGCAAAATGATATTGGGAAATGCATTTAAAACTCCACAGCCTGAATGTAATACTTGTTAACATAGCTGCTGTCTTTTGGAGTATTTCTTTCTACATGGCTCATATAGAGACTGAGGCCTCTCTTACTTTTTAATGAAACACCAGAACTGGCCGCTTTTCTTTTTCTTTCTTTTTTATGGCTTAATGAGAGAAGTGTGATTGAGGCTGAACTGCAAGGATTTAAACCTGGGTTTGACTGGCGACAAAGCCACTCTCAAGCACATATCAAGGTGCTGATTTTGAGCCTGGATCGATATTTATTTTTGATTATGTTCATGGTGGAGAATCCTGCTTCACAGCAGGAGGTTGAGCCAAACATACTCAAAATGTGCAGGGTCATCTTTGAGCACGCCATTTCACTTTTCTTTCACCAGTTCAGTGCGCTTCTTTCAGCAGTCTGCACTTTCTCTGCTCTCTTTTTCTCATTGTATTCTCATTCCTTCCCATTGCCCGGCTTGCCTGCTGTGTCTAAAAGTGGCTAGCAGCAACAACCCAGACTGACACAGCTGATTGGCTAATTTGTATCACGTGCAGCTTGGTGCTGGACGCTCTGGATGGCTTTACCATACAAACAGGAGAAGCAGCGCAAGTGACCTTTAGAGACTGTCGTCGAACTACACGCAGTAATTTATAAATGTTTTAAATCAGGTTGGTCAGGATCAACAAGCAGGTGGGTCCGGATCCAGACCTCGGTCCGCTAATCCGTGACCTCTGGTGTAGAGAGCTTCCGAGCTTTACTATAGTGTTCCGTTTGCCTGATCCTGACCAGTTTCTGTGTTCCGACTTATAAGCCTGCCTGACCTTGTCTGATCTCCACTGCGTCCGCAGAGTCTTGTCAGCTGACCAGCTGGAATCATCCTTGTTCTCTAGGTATGGCTGAACTGTCAGTCGGTTAGTTACTCATGCGTTCATAATCGTCCTCCTTCAGATTATCGTGGTCACTAACCTGTGTTTCTCTTCTATAGAAGTTCCTGTGCAGCTGCTTCTACAGACCCACTCTATGAAATAAACACTTTCGAGTTATTCCACTGTATGTCTTTTCTGAATTCTGGGTCCTCAGTTTTGAGTCCTTGCATGTGTTGGCTTATATCAGCCATCTTTTCATTGCTTTCAGCTGGTATAAACTGTTGCTGCTCGGTTCTTAGCAGGAACGACAAAACAGAAACATATAAATTCACTCCACTTGCTTCTTGATTGTTACATTGCTGATTTATTTATTTATAAAATTTTTGCGACACTAGTGGCTAGCTTTTCTGACAGTAGGCTGACAGGAAAGGGGGTATGAGAGAGGGGGAAAGACATGCGGCAAAGGACCACAGGCCGGATTCTAACCAGGGTTGGCCGCGTCGAGGACTAAGGCCTCCGTACTTGGGTTGTGCGCACTAACCACTGCCCCACTTGCCCGCGCCAGGTTGATTTTAAAATTGTGCCACTCCTTTTTAAAAAGGGATAATACACTTACCCCAGCGTGCATAAAGGGTCTGATATAAAGCTATACATCCACAAGAACACAATGCATTTTTAAAGATTTTTTAAAGTCAAAGTAGAAAAGTGGATAGTGTCTTCTCTGTTGTGGCCCTAAAACTGTGGAATAATCTGCCAATTCATATACATACTCTCACTGTACCTTTTTACTCTTGGTTGCATTCAATGTCTGGACTTTGACAGGGCAATTCTCTCGTATGCATGTGCTTTCTCTAAACCATTTTATTGTAGCTTTGGTTCTTGAGCCAATGACCTGCTTAGATTTTAACCTTTTCTCCAGCCGTATGTTGTTTTGCAGGCTCTAAAAGCTATTCCTCCAAAACCACCCTCTGCTCAGCTCCATCCCTCTTTAAAATTTGATCAGCTTCTCCAACCTAGCTAATGGAAAAGCCTCCATACCTCGTGATGCTGCATCCACTTCATTTTCCTGTTGCTATGTCTTACCCCAATCTGCCGAAAGACATTCTCGTAGCTTTCTTTGAACAATGCCTTTTATCTTGCCACTCCTTCTTAAAGGAGCAATATTTTTGCAGAATATTGTAACATCTGACTAAGGATATTTTTAGGGTGTTTCCCCACATTTCATTTGGGGGGATCAGACAGAAAGGGCAAATGCTCGCCACCTTTTTGAGATTATTGATTGTAATATAATTTGAAAAAACAAGTTTTCTTTTCCTTCCACTTCACAATTATGTTCTACTTTGAAAATACATTGCGGTTCAAGGTTGTGTTCATGCAAAATAAAAAAAAAATTAAGGTGTTTTGCAAGGCACTGGAAAAGACATAAAAGGAACAAAAGACAACAACAAGCTAAATTTGTCAATTATAAGTATATGCTAAATTAATGAAATATTTCAGAATATCTTCTCTAAATGATGCTGCTTAGAGGATGCAGTATACATTTGTATTTGCTGTCCAACAGCTCAGATGACAATGTGTTATACAAGTCCCTGTTGTCTGATTTAATGATGAAAACAATGGTCTGTCTAATCAACCTATTAGCAAGCAGCATACGAAAACACAGAGTAATTAATGAGCACAGGGCATTCTGTTTCCTGATCCATTTATGTTTCTATGCCAGAAAACTCAGGATTTGTGGTCAGAATTTTAGGCTGCAGTTTAAGTTGAATAAAGATGAAGCTGAGGTTGGTTTATATTTCCTAGGTAATAAGCAAAAGTCCTTTTGTTTTGAAGAGTTATCTTACCTGCTGGGTGCTCTGCTCCTCCAGAGTTAGTTTGACCTGAAGTGACTGACGAGCTTCCAAAAATGCTGTCCTGTACTTCCTATCGGCCATGTAGAATGACATCACACCCACCATGGCTGCGCACAGGTACAGCATCACATTGGCCAACAGCTGAAAAGATGAAGAAATGTTTTTCTTCCTGTAGAGAGGTGCTCTCTCACATGTCTGTAATAGGATGTCTGTTTTTTCAGCTACATATCGACAGGCTCCAAAATGTGAGAATCTTAAATGAGATCACTAACAAATGATTCATGCAGTGAGTATAAAAGGAAACAATACAATTTTTATCAATTGAATATGGTCACAGAATGAAAAATGCAGTGGCCCTAAACTGTACCGTCAACAGCCACAGTCATGGAAAAGGAAAGATCGAACATTTACTATATGTTTGTCTTCCTCTCTCAACCCTTGCTGCAATATTACTTTAAGAAAAAAAAAGGCACATTTGTTTTGTCTTTTTATAGCTGTATTGTTATGCACTTTAACATATATGGAAGAGACTCAGTATTAACAAACTTACATGTGTCTTACACGTTATACACAGCAAAATCCCTACATGCATATGACAAGATCTACACAGACACACAGGATCCACACGTGCACAGGTCAAGATCCATGCATGCACAGGTCAAGATCCATGCACAGGTCAAGATGCATACATGCACAGGTCAAGATCCATACATACACAGGTCAAGATCCACACATACACAGGTCAAGATCCATACATGCACAGGTCAAGATGCATACATGCACAGGTCAAGATGCATACATGCACAGGTCAAGATCCATACATGCACAGGTCAAGATCCATATGTGCAAAGGTCAAGATCCATACATGCACAGATTAAGATCCATACATGCACAGGTCAATATCTACACATACACAGGTCAAGATCCACACATGCACAGGTCAAGATCTGTATGTGCACATGTCAAGACCCACACATTCACATTTTAAGATCCAAACATGTAATTATTTACCTGTCTCACCAGCATGGGCCCCTGAAGATTATCCCCAAACCTCTGAGCCACGGTGACCCCAAGTACCAGGGTGTGTATCCCACAGGAGAGGGTTGTGAGCAGGACGAGGGGAACCAGATTCAGTGGTAAGGTCAGAAAGCTGGAGAAGCTGAAGAAAGCCTGCCAGCCCACTGAGTCACTTGCATCAGAGTACTGCTCGTAGTTCAGTCCCATGTAACATAAAACATGGATGGTGACCATCAGCCACAGCACGTAAGGTACTGCCCCTCGTGCCACAGGTGATGTAGGGAGTTTTTGAAACCAGCACAGCAGGTAGAGAACTACATCTGCTGTCAACCCCACGGCTGCAACCACCACCATTGCCATTTTGTCCTCTGTGTAAACCACTGCACACATGATGATGATGAAGCTGTTAAAGAGGGCTGCGAATAACACTAAGACCAGCAGGTTCTCCTCTCTCTGCCGACAAAAGTAATTCTGATAAAGCCTCTCCAGAGACTCAGGGGTAAAAGTGAGGCGTACTGCCCGCGGCAGGCAGCGGCAGCAGCCAGACTGTAGGATGGCCACATCCCGACTACGACCAGGATCCCTGGGAGCTGGCCCTGAATACTCTGCAGAGCACTCAGTGGACTGCTCTGTGTTTGCTGTGTTGGCCTGGTCCAGTGACATGCTGTTTGTTTAAAGGTAATCCATTTGGTTTATGTGATGGTATTTCCAAATGACAGTCAAACTCATTAGAAAAGTGGCAAAAGTTTCAATCTAGTGTTTAAAAAACACTGAATCTCAAAAATATTAGTTCCATTGGTATTAAAAAGCTATTCATCATAAAAGGTGCTTACCTTTTATGACGTTTAGGATCATTTGAACTATAATTTTTCCTCCACACCTAAAACTTCATAGAGAAAATATGACATCCTTTAGTATCCAAATCCTGTTCAGTTTTAAAGTAGAAAGGAGCCACGTCCAGGTATCCATTTGAGGGTATTGCATGTCTAAAAATGGTTTAACGGCATCACAAACTCGTATGTAAAACCACAAACACTTCTCAGAGGCTTGTCTGTGCTCTGATAAGTCCTCTGTTTCCTCCCACCTCAACCTCTCCCAATGGTAAACAGCAAATCCTCTGTTACTGTTGTTAAGATGACACAAAAGTCTCACAGTTATGTCATGGGAAATGTGCTGGTGCACAGAACTGAGAAAAAGACAGAAGGGTGGGGGTAATTTACGACATAAGGCAAAAAAAAAATTTGTTTTATTAATTCTCTGAAAAGGAAACAAACACCATTGGTTACCGGTGGACAAAACAATAGGTTTTAATGACACAAATATCACATTTGTATGCACAAAAAACATGATTCAACATAACAGAGTTGATCTTTGCTGGTACAAACCATTACTAACAGAACTCAAGAATTTGGTTGCAGCAGTAGAAAAGGACTTAGACTCAGTTGTCATTCAGTCTCTGTGTGTGTTGGTTGTCGATGGTGATTTTCCTAACATTCCACTGAGAGCGCTTCCCAAGGCCAACCCTATAGCCACTAGAACTCCTACAGTCCCCAGCATCCCCAGAGCTGCCGTGCCTAACGCCGCGGCCCCCAGGGCTCCAGCTCCAATAGGGGCTGCTGCTGCGGTGACCGTCTCCATGCCGATTCCTTTAATTAGATCTCCCCCCGTGAGAAGGCCCTGCCGCAGATGCACTTGAGTGTTGAATGGGCTCTTTGGTGCACCCAGGATGAATGCCCCAACAGCAGTGATTGTCACTGTTATGAGTTCGGAAGTTGTTAGCTGTGTTGGTGTCAGTCCGGGAACCTTGATGGCTATGAGTACACCAATGACAACGGAACCTAAAAGTACGAGGGTCGAGTTCCTGGACCCAAAACTTTGCTTTGCTGACACACTTGCAGCACCAAGTGACACCCCTGCAGCTGTGGTTGCCCCTAAAGTTGCTCCTAAACAGCTTCTGGGCCCAAGAGTGGCGCTCCAAAGTAGAACACCTTTTAAGGCCATTGATGTTACTACAGCAGCTCCGACAGAAAGCTTCCCAGGAAACTCTGATCCAAGTGAAACTATTGCCACTGTTCCTAGGCCAGCTCCTAGAAGCCCTGCTGACAGAAAGACGACCCAAACCACTGACTGTAGCATTAATACCACCTGTTCTTTAGTGCCTTCTTCTGCCCCACCTGCCCCTAAGCCAACGAAAAACCCCAAAATCCCCACAAAAACAGAATAGAAGAAGATTCTCTCCAACAACTTGCACCCACTTTTAGAGTTCTGTTCTTGCACAGACCCTCTTGTAAGAGTTCGTCGTAGAGCAAAGAGAACAAGGATGGTCACTCCCAAACAAAAGAACCCGAATATGGCCCCTAACTTTCCAAATATAACACTGAGGTACAGAGTGGTAAAGATAATTAACAGAGCTGTTGTCATGTCACTGATGTTGGAGTAAGAGTACACGACAAGAACCAGAATGCCCTGAGCCACAATGTAGGTCCATGTTGGAAGGATGCCCTCCATCGCTCCGGTGGCGACTGTGCCCGCGGCAACTGAGGCCCCCAATATGGGGCCCACCAGCCATGGGAGGCTCACTTCGGCCTTAGTGAGCAGCTTCAGTACCAGGGCACAGAGGAGAAAACCGGCTCCAAGAGACAGGAGTGCTGAAGTGAACACAAGGCATGCCGTCACCACTGCTACACCGGTTGAACCAGCACGTCCAGCGGCTCGAGTGGCAGAGTTCAGTAGCGTAACGTCTCCAGTCAGAGAGGGATGGACTGAGAATGAGGCAGCTTGCCCGAACACAAAACCAGCTGCTGAACTTCTGAAGAGGGATTTCACCACACAGAAGGCACCTAAAGACAAAGATCCAATTATTCTTTATTATTTAAACTGCTAAGTGATTACTACATCCAGATTTTAACAATCTTCAAAGCTGTTATACAGTACAATTACACTTACAAAAGCTTTAAAAGTCTCATTTATAATCTAAACACATCATTTAAATCAGATCTGTGTGGATATACAGTGTTGTAAAAAAAAAAGTATATTTGAGAGCATATCACGCTTAACAGAGTGGAAAAATTTACAAAGCTATTCCAAGGCTTTGGGAATTAAGCAAATGTCAATGAAAAGCACCATCTACAAACATATACAACATGGAACAGCTGGAGCGTTCTGACCAGTGATTAGTCAACTAAAATTACTACAAAAGCACATTGACTGTCAATCTAGTAGGTCCCAGGAAAACCCAGAAAAACATCCTGATAGGGCTAAAAATAAAAAAAAAGCCAAAAAATGGCCTTTGGGGAAGTCCCATAGTCAGCTCTACAGAACACAAACAACTGTCCCAGGGTTACCTAAAAAAATCTTAATCCTTTCAAAGACTTTTTCATTGTGAACTGATAAAGAAATTTAAGAAAGTTATAAAACAAACATCACAGAAACTAGTCTAAATTGTTTTCAACTGAAATGTCAAACTCTATGGCATTGGATTGGATATGACCTGAGATCTAATTATAAAACCAGCTTGTCATCTAATACTGAAGTTAGTGAATACCTAATGTAAAGAAAAACTGACATTTTTATACTTTTTTATTTTAGGGATGAGCTTTACTTTTTATTGGTGGAGGCTAGAGATGTCCCGATCCAGGTTTTTGCACTT